ACAAGAAGACACAAAAAGAGGCAGAATAACTATAAAAAAAAAAAAAAAAATACAAAGTGACACAAAAAGAGGAAAAATACCAAAAAAAAGACACAAAAGTGGTGAAATAATACCAAAGAGACACAAAAAGAAACAAATTCATTACAGAAAGGCGTAAAAAGAGACAAAATGACTACAAAGAGACACAAAAAGAGGCAGAATAACTATAAAAAGACAAAAAAACACACAAAAAAAATACATAAAAACAGACAACAATGACTATAGAGACAAAAAAAAGCAAAATAATGACAAAGAGGCAGAAAAAGATACTAATTTACTACAGAAAGACATACAAAGAGACAATATAGCTACCAAGAGACTTAAAAAGAGGCGAAATAACAACAGAAAGACACAAAAATGGCCAATTTACTACAGCGAGACATAAAAAAGAAACAAAAAGAGACACAATGATGACAAAAAGACACAAAAAGTGGCAAAATAACAACAGAGGGACACAAAAGAGGCTAATTTAGGACAGAAAGACAAAATAAAGAGACAGAAAAAGAGGCCAAATAACGTCAAAAAGACACAACAAGCCCATTTATGACAGAAGGAGACAACATGGCAACTAATGACCGACTACGCCTTGTGTAGAGAAAAATTAGTTGTCATAGCAACCCCCGGGCTACCTGGGCACGCTGGTATTTAGCTGAACACACAGTGATGGAGGCAACACGTCAGTCATCTGCAGGACCACTTCTGTGCTGCTGTACACTTTTATTTTTACGATAAAGGTTTGGACTTAAATCAGCCACAGGAGCCTGTTTTTACTCGCTTGATTTTGTGTGTTTACGTTTTTAGGCCACTTTTCTGAGGGACTCACTGCACTTTATCCTCCTGAAGATTAATTCTGACAAAGAACAGTGATGATGGAAGAAAGCACCTCACAGAACAAACAGCTTTCATCCGAGTAGAACTATAGAATATAATCGAAGGTAAATATGAGGTTCAAGCCCAAAATGATTCATAGTTTCTTTAAAAAACTGTCATTTACGGTGATTTTTAAATTTGATCACAGGGTTCTTCTGGCTGGAAATGACAAACAAGGGACAGAAGAGGCTGTTTTACCAAAACATGTTTGAATAAGAACGACTTTTCATACTGATGATCCCACTTAAAGTCTCTCTCCAATCGACTGAGCCCCATAAAACTCATTAAAGTTACACATTCATGATGAAAATCGGCCCATTCTGTCCTGAAATGTCTTCAATGTAACTGCTGATTGCTTAGAAAACACTTAAAACAAGGTAAAAAAAAAACCTGATTTCTGTTGGAGGTCCTTTATAAATGCAGGAATAAACTTTAAATTATGTCTTTTACTTGAGAAAAAGATCCAAGCACTCATGTTTTACGATATTAAAAAAAAACAAGAATTCCACATTCAAGAGTCTGTTTAATATGAAATTTTTTATTCAACATATAAAACAGGTGTGAAAACGCAAGACGCTGACTGGAAATAAAACGAACAAACCCTGTTTGATAAAATAACACGAGGAAAAACTGTAAATGTACGAGTTGGACTGAGTGAACGATGCCCCGGTTTCTATGTGTTCAGACGCTTTGGAGAGAAATCTTCATGATAAAATGCAAACGGACCTCAAGACGCTTTATTTTACAGGTCATTTCTACTAATTTGGTATTAAAGGCAGGATTTGGTTAAATAGCTGCCAGAATATTAATCGATGATTTGTTTAATACACATTAAACAAACATGTTGGAGGACCTGTAAAACGAAGCTTCTGCTGTCTGAGGTCAGCTGACGAGCTTTAACCACACTTCATGGTGTTTCTCAGCAGTCGGACTCATTATTTCTTAAACTTCCTGCACATGAAACCTGCTTATGTTGCACATTTAAACATCAAAAAAACAAAAACGCTGCATGTTTCACCGTCATTGTGCAAAAAGCAGCAGTGAAATAATCGTTACTGTGACATGAATTAAAAAAAAAAAAAAAGAGACACACAAATAAGAACAAAGTGAGGATTTACATGCTACATGATGCAACCTGGGGCGTTTTCATGATTACAATATCAGCATCCTCTTCAGTTTTAATGCCTCTGCTGCAGGAACCAGTGAGTTCCCACTGAGCCTGGACCCGGAGCGCCCCCCGGTGGCCGGACGCTCCTCACAGTGGAGGTCCTGATCCGAGCAGCTGATCCGAATCAAAGTGCACCTTATTACCTTTCTCCAAACATCCCCGGAGCGCCGGAGGCCCGTCCAACGCGGCTAATTAGGGGCGTCTCCGAGGAGGACCGCAGCTCGTTAATTAAAAACAAGAAAAAAAAACAAAACAAAAAGCCGCCGCTGTCTGGAGCCGTTGTGGAAAATAATTAAAAATACTAAAGGGAGGAGGGGCAGACGATACGCTTCACGTCTGGCTCGCTGCTTCCCACGAGTCCTCGTCTCTCCGCCCTGACGGCTTCATCACGCTCCTCATCGGCGGACGCCTGCGATGTGGAGTTTGGACGTCAGAGCGCCACGCAGACGCAGGGATGCTTGAGGCAGACGGGCAGGATTCCCTTGTTGATCTGGTGGAACTCCACCAGCTGCAGCAGGTCGATGAACAGCGTGACGCCGTCGTCCATCGTGAAGTACTTCCTGCCTCCTTCCTCGAACTGCAAACAGAGTCACAGTCAGCGGTGGGACATTGTTTCAGACGCAATTCAGTTTGTTATTTGCTATTCAGAGTCACAAAACTAAGTTCTGCTCGATATCTTTGGCGGAATTTTAGTCTTTGGTCGACATTTCACCAACTTCTGAGGCCTCCGACGTCACAATATGATGTCTTAAGAAGACAAAATGATGTTGCTTCACTGTCTTAAACTTTCTTCAAAGTTTACTTACTTGTTATTTGGAGTCACAAAACTAAATTCTGATAAATATTTTGGCAGAATTTTGAGTCTTCCTACTAAAATTACAGTCTTTGGTCGGCATTTCACCAACTTCTGAGGCCTCCAACGTCACAATATGATGTTTTAAGAAGCCAAAATGATGCGTCGCCGTCTTGAAGTTTACTTATTTGTGTCACTAAACTAAGATCTGCTAAATATTTTGGCTGAATTTTGAGACTTTCATGTTTTTGTTGTCAAAAATCTCTCATCTACTATTACTACTACACCTACTAAAAAGACAGTCTTTCACCAACTTGAGGCCTCCGATGTCGTAGTTTGATGTTTTAAGAAGCCAAAATGAAGTTGCTTCACCATTTTACATTTTTTTCAGTTTATTTGTTTGCTATTTGGATCACTAAACTCAGTTCTGCTAAATATTTTGGCTGAATTTTGAGACTTTCATGTTTTTATTGTCAAAAATCTCTCATCTACGACTACTACACCTACTAAAAATACAGTCTTTAACCAACTCGAGGCCTCCGATGTCATAGTTTGATGTTTTCAGAAGCCAAAATGATGTTGCTTCACCATTTTACATTTTTTTCAGTTTGTTTATTTGTTATTCGGATCACTAAACTCAGTTCTGCTAAATATTTTGGCTGAATTTTGAGACTTTCATGTTATATTTTTAAAAAACTTTCATCTTCCTGCTTAAAACGCAGTCTTCGGTTGACATTTCGCCAATGTCTGAGGCCTCCAACATCATAATTTGATGTTTTATGAAGTTAAAGCGATGCTGCTTCACTGTCTTAAATTTTACTTATTTGTTATTCTGGTCACAAAACGACGTTCTGCTAAATACTTTGGCTGAATTTTGAGAATTTCTGGTGTTATCGTCCTCACAGAACAGCTTCACTGGGAAAACGCTTGAAGGGAAATTTGGTGAAGATACAGACGAAACAGTTTCCTGCAGATCCAAATGATTAAATGGCTCCAGCAGAGGAGAAGTTCCTCATTATTGGTCCTTGAGAATGGGCGAACAAGTACAACAAATGTTGTTTTTGAGCATGAAAACACTAAAACGTCCAGGTCTACAAACCGATGGAATTCTGAAAATTCAACCAAAATATTTTACAAAACTTAGTTTAAGCTCACAGATAACAAATAAAAAACTCCATTTAATCAAACCTCCAAGATATCTGTAAAGACACTTCTAAGAGGTTTGACATGTCGACATCATTCTGACTATTTCACACTCGATGTAAGAATCTAAAGAAGGACCACGGTGATGTGTTGAACTGAGGAGAATTAAAGACATTTTGAACAAGAACTATGACGAGTTCAACAGAAAGTAAAGTAACAACTCATCAGATGACTGGCAGAGGACTGTAATGACAAACATGTAAACGAGAGAAGGAGGTGAACTCACAGGAATCACCAGGTAGTGTTTGGTCTTCAGCTTGTAGCACAGCGACAGGACGAAGCACTGCGAGTGCTGCTGACTCTCCCGAATCAGAAACATCCTGCAGAGAGACAGTAAATGTCAGAGAAACTCGACCTGAACTCAAACCTTTTACTGTCGAGTGACGAACCCGAGACGTTAAGAAATCAGTTTAAACCAACAGACGGCGGTGGAAGAAGCTCAGCTCTCATATTCTGCATTCAAAGAGATCAGAAAAGCACACAAGCATAGTCAATAAGCTGCATGTAACCCTCAGATTGTTTTCATTTCGACTCATCTCTTGGAACGTTTACGCCCAATGTGAGCGATCTGACTTCACCTGCTTCTGTAACCGCACGAAACTATGGCAAAAAAGTAGAATCTACATCTAAATGTGGACATTTTGTTCATTTTTCAAGATTCAGATTCAGATTTGTTTTATTGTCATTGTAACAAGTACAACGAAACGAAGGTGCAGTCCTTTCAGTGCAAAAATATAAGAACTTGAGAACAATAAAAACTTTGTAAAAAACTTTGTAAACACTATATACAATATAAAGGAAATATATATATAAAAACAAGCAAAAAGAAATGAACTCTATATACAGGATGAAATTAAATAATGAGCACGGTGTATTATTTCACAGAGTGGATGTATTCAACTCATAAAAATCCACATAAGAGTGTTTGGCTTCTTCAAACTTGTACCTAAGGCCTCATGTAACTGACCAAACCGTCAGCTGGGTGGTTTTCCAGCCAATGTGGTTAAAACACTCCTAACGCAGTAAAAATGGATTCATGCCACAGACGCACTACTGGAGGGTTTCTCAGATTTATCACTTGGAAGTCCTGCAGCTGATTTGCATTCAGGGTCGGAGGTCGGGAACAAATCACGATGATGAAATCGCACGTAATCGACTCACGTTTAACCTCCAGGCGACATATATCAAGTTAAAGACATTTCATACATTCTGCCGTCACCTGCAGCGGTTTCAACCCTTGAACTCCACAAATCTCTTGATTTGATTTTATTTCTGACTCAGAAACGTTCTTGGATTAGACGTAGAAGTTACGACCTGGAGAGGAAACAAGGCATTCATCTCCAGCTGCACTGTTTAATCAATGCTACTGATCAATAGAAAATCCATTTTGTCACGCCTCATAACGTTTTCACAACACAAGGTCTCTGCTGAGTCCAGATGTGGATTCTCAGCAGCGCTGTCATGTGATGGAAGCTCCTGTTATCGTCTACGTCACACGTTAAACAATGCAGCATGTTTTAGTGAAAGAAGTTTAAAACACAACATGTCAAAGTCTGAGATCCGTCAAACAGTAAATGGGAAAATAAGTCTAATTAAAAATGTGCTACTTTGGTGCTCATGCAACCAATGTTTTTTGTTTTCAAGGCCGATACCGACTATTGGCAACTAAAAAAAGGCAGATAATCAATATTTGGAATTAATATACTGTCAATATTAGAAAACCATGCTATTGTTGTCGCCTGTATCTTAAAACATTAGATACTGTTTTCCAGACACGACTACTGAGTAATCAGTAATAGTAGTAATCAGTAATCTGTGGCTGCCTGCTAGTTTAGCCGCTAACGTTAGCATAGCCTTAGCCACTGTGAAAGCAGCTGAAGTCCAGATTTGTGTTGACGTTTGTGCTTCTTATTCCGTTTTAGCAGCATCAGATAGCGCTAGCCGCATGCTAAGAGGCACAGCTAACCTCCTAGCGATAGCATTAGCCTGTTAGCACTGCTAGCACTGCCACCAACAGGTGCATTATTCCAGTGTAACGGGGAAACTGTAAATGAGGAAAAGTGCCAAATATCGGAGAGAACTAACGTCTTGCCCAAAGCGCTAAATGATTACTTTGCCCATTTTTAAAGAAACATGTAAAACAGAAATAAACAAAAGGCATTTGAACAAAGTTTTGTGTTGGAATTGTGTTATTCTGAAGATTAAATGCACGTCGGTTTCCCTGATGACTAATAATCAGTGTCGGTTTTGGATCATCATTGCACTGGAATAGAAGCAGAACGTTCTCCTCTAAAACGCAGTGCAGCAGAAGCATGAAGTCCAAGAAACAGGACAAACTGTACTTGAGCACCTTCTTGAGTAAATGTTCTCAGCTGCATCCACCACATCCTGCAGGTTCACTACAGTTCACATGAAGCAACGTGCCTCCAATAAAATCTCAATTTTGAAACAGCACAAATTTCTCACAATGATGCAACTTGCAAAATAACCAAATGAAGTAAACATATACGGCGAAAACAAACAAGAATGCACTAAATGACATGTCCCTGTGAAATCTGATGAGTTTGGCGGTTTGTCTTCCACCTCCTCATAACTGCTAACTCCATCTAAAACACTCTGAGCCTCGGTTAACCAACATATTCCTGAAAGCTAGACGAGCACGAAGCAGCTAGAAAACAGCAGCAGCAGCCGAGCAACGTGACCAACAGCCTGCAGAAGTTTGGACCGAGAGCCGTCACGCTCGGCTGATCCTGTTTCCTTCTTCCTGCAGTGTCACAGATCGCTTCCACACAAACCGGCCACGAGCATGAAGCTCCCGTTTTAGAATGTGCAGAATCGCACAACGTGGATGAGACGCTCCACTCGTCACTCACCCGTCCACCAGGCCCTGCTTCTCGATCAGCCTCTGAGCTTCTTTTCTCGACACGCCGCCATGAAACCACGGCAGCGTCTTGTGGATGGCTGGAAACAAACACAGGAGACACGAGGGTCATGACTTTCATATAAGAAATCCCAGGATTAGGAAACCGTGGCGGCTGATGTGGACTTACAGGAAGGTCTGGCTGCAGAGTTCAGGTTGGGCAAACTGCACCGCAGAGCTTCTCTCCTCTGTGTCAGGAACAACAAACAACAGGAAAAGGTCACAACAACAGACACATGTAGACATCGGTGCATTTGCTAAAGGAATATTATCAGTGTCTAAACATCCCTCATCGTATTTTCATTTTAAAACATTTTCTGCAGATGGTCAGTTTACCCACTGAGCCCCAAACGTCAAGTCTGGTCAGCGTTACCGTCAGTTTTATCATATGGACAACATACACGGTGCAAAATAAACATAGACAAAAAGTATAAAAATAGAAGAAAGAAAAATAGAAAAAAGAATATAGAAAGCTTAAAAGTCCTGTTTTCTTATGACACTACTTATCAGACCAGAGACTGTAAAAACTGAACGAGTTGTCAGATTGACTCTGTGACACACGATCAGAAAAACAACCACATCTAAGCCTAAATCACGATATTCCATCAAAATCTTTTTGTGCTACAAGTCTCATTTTTTTTAAATGCCAAAAATCAATCATTTGTTTCATGCAAAATTTTGCAAAAAAACTAAAAAATCTGCACTTCTAGGAGCCATCAGAGCCGTGAGCGACTCAGCTCAGACCAGCAGCCTCGTTAGGACAATTCAGCCACTTTTCAGCTGAACTCCAGCCTGTGTCGACACAGAGCGGATAGAAAACAAGTCTGGAAGCAGATTAAGAATGTGAGCAGCAAAATATCTACAGCACGTGGAAGCACCTTTTTTTTTCCAGAGTTGGGAAATATTTTCTCAGTTTTTGTAAAAATAAATAAATAAATAAATAAAACAATATTTCTGATAAGAACTTTCAAGGAACGTTCCAAATGTTGCAGGAGCACCGGGAGCCGAGTACCGCTGCACAAAGTGACGACTATGGATCTGACCGAGGTCCAGAGCAGCTTGTCCACCAGCTGCAGGGTTCAGTCTGACACTGAACTCAAAGTTAGAATCGCATCGCAAAGCCCTTCAAGAATTACAAAAAGTGCAGCGTAAGCGTGGCCAGATTTAAATCAGGTCAAGTCTTTTCTCTTTCATATGTACGTTTTTTGTAATTGCATCTCGGAGTTGTTGCTCGTCCCTCAGCCTGCAGAATGCATCCGTCACATTCTCAGTCGTTCCTGTGAACGTGGATGAAGGAACAGAAGCAGACGAGGCTGCACACAAACTTCCACATCACTCAAACTCCTGCGTCATCATCCCTCATCCCCCTCCGTCCTCACCCTCCAGGCTTGCCCCTCCTCCATCTCTGCACTCCGGGCCTCCGTTGGGTTCTGGATGACCCGTCCTCCAGCCTTCCCTGAGAAGTCCATGGCCACCAGGCTGGCCTCCGACTTACACTGCAGTTAAACAAACAACACGTGAGCTGATTTTTTTTTTTTTTTTTAAAAAACGCTGCATGCTGCGCCGTGTGTCGCGTCTGATGAGCTCACTTTGCCATCTGCGAGGTTTGATCCTTCCAGGCTTCGAGGAGCCGACTTGGACAACTGGTAGTTACACTGGAGCTGCTTCCCATACTGAGCACACACAGAACAAACAATTCACCGACTGAACGGCTCACACAAGACGACAAACGGGAGGAGATCGTTAAATACCTTGAACAATCTGAAAGCAGACGTCCAGCAGGTTCGCGTCTGTTCGTTCTCGGCGCACAGAATCTTCAGGTCCTGGACACGGATGGGATTCCTGGAAGGCTGCGTGAGCGCACAAACACAAAACACAAGGTGAGGTTTCAGCAGCTTGTTGTGGAATTAAAATATTACATCAGACAAGATGACAAGAAAGAAGAGAGCTAAAACTAAAAAGAAAAAACTAGACTTAGTTTATCCAGGTGGACACAAATCCTGAAGTGGTGTTAGCTGTTTGCTAACACGTTAGCAACAAGTTTATAAGACGATAGAAGAGATTATACGAGAAGACAAAATATTGATCTTCTAACATCAGGGAGAAGATACAGGACCATCAGACCACAAAC